TAAGGGAAACTTTTTTTCCCCCCCTTTATTTCCCCCCCCCACCTCTTTCCGCATGCGGGAGCCGGGGGCGCATCTTTCCCACCCTGCTCCCTCCCTGCAAAAACGCCGCTTCCCCAGTGCCCGCCGCGACCGTTTCGTTGTGATTCGGTGCCTAACGACTGGGGATAAAGTTTAAATGTGCGTGTGTGCCTGTGCATGATGTGGGGAATATGCCTTATTAAAAGATGCCCCGAGTTAGCACTGCTGAGAAGACAGCCTGGGAGTTTATGCTTTTTTTTTTTTTTTAAATATGTGTGTGCTTTCCTCATCTTAATTTTATTAAAGTGCTTAGTGGGAGAAACAAAGGTTGGAGGGGCTGCTGCTTCTTTTCTAGCTTTTGTTTACTTACAATCAAGTTTTTCCTGTTTGGAGCAGGTGTGAAAGGATGAGAAGCATGTTGTGTTGGGGTTTTTTTTTTTCTCCCCCCTCTTAATAAAACTATTACAGACAATTAACAGTAAACGTTATCTCCAAGGCTGTTTCTTTGGCTTGTGTTACCAAAAAGCCGATCTGTTTGTTACAGCTGCTAGGAGGCTTTAGTTTACAGTAGCATTCAAGTTTTTCCTGTTTTGAACAGGTTATGAAGGAAGAATGGAGTTTCCAGACCATAGCCGCCAGTTGCTGCAGTGTCTGAGTCAGCAGCGTCACCAGGGCTTCCTGTGTGACTGTACTGTTTTAGTTGGAGAAGCTCGGTTCCGCGCTCACAGAGCCGTTCTTGCCTCTTGCAGTATGTACTTCCATCTTTTCTACAGGGACCAGTTAGACAAAAGGGATATTGTGCATCTGAACAGTGACATTGTCACAGCCCCTGCCTTCAGCCTGCTGCTCGAATTCATGTACGAGGGAAAGCTGGAATTCAACAGTCTCCCGGTCGAAGATGTGCTGGCTGCGGCGAGCTACCTTCACATGTATGACATTGTGAAAGTCTGCAAGGGCAAGTTGAAAGATAAAGAATTATGTCTGGAAGAGAAGATTAATGATGAGGTGGCTAGTTTGGAGAAAGCGGAGCATTTTCTAGATGCTGGAGTGCCCCTGGTCCACGAGTTTGACCCAGGAAACAAACAAAAATTCAGCGTTGCAGAATACGAGAGAGCAGCAGGCAAAGAAAAGGTCAGCAGTCACCCCGCCTGGTCCTCTGATCATATAAGTGTCAGCTCTGTGCCGACAGAGGCAGAACCGTGTGCCGCAGCAGCTGGAAAAACAAAGGCTAATGTCAATAGTTCTACAGGACCTTTGTCCCAAAGGTCTGTTAACCATCCCCTGGCTTCGAGTGATGTGGACTGCGCGCTGGATTTGTCTTTCAAGCCTGTGCCGGGGAGAGATTCCTTACACCCCTCCTATGTCTTTGGACAGCTGGCTTCCGACAGCCAGCAGCAGGGTACCGAGCCACTTGTTAAAGACGAACAAGACTTGCTGTCAGATCAGGAGGACGGCGAAGCCAGGAGTCCGGAGAGTCAGCATTTTGGGAATTCAGCCAAAAGCCTAGTGACAGGGTTAGGACACATGTTCGCGGGGAATGGCAGCTCTCATGCCCGAGAGGAGGATATAGATCAAGAGCGAGACGAGAGCGAGGACGACATGGATTCGTCGGACATCTCCTCCTCGGGTGTCCTCGTGCCTCCCGGCCATATCTGCATTTGTCCCCTCTGTAGCAAGGTGTTCCCGAGCCCGCACATCCTGCAGCTGCACCTGAGCTCTCACTTCCGCGACAAGGACGGCTCCCGGACCCGCCTGTCCCCCGACGGCTCGGTCCCCACTTGCACCCTCTGCGGAAAGACTTTTTCTTGCATGTACACCTTAAAGAGGCACGAGAGGACTCACTCGGGGGAGAAGCCCTACACCTGCGGCCAGTGCGGAAAGAGCTTCCAGTATTCCCACAACCTCAGCCGCCACGCCGTGGTGCACACCAGGGAGAAACCCCACGGGTGCAAGTGGTGTGAGAGACGGTTCACGCAGTCTGGGGACTTGTACAGACACATCCGCAAATTTCATTGTGGCCTTGTGAAGTCCTTGGTTGTTTGAGATGGGTGATTTGAATTGTTTATTCCCCTTCCCTCCCTTGTAAAACAAAACAGGGAAGAAAAAAAAAAAAGGCAGCATCTGAATTTGAATTCCTCCCCCCCACGCTCCCCCACTTTTCTTTTGGTGATACTCACTTCAGGTATACGATCTTTAAAAGATGCAGAGGTATACACTCCAGAGGCCTTTTAATGCAATCCTTCCACCTTTCCATCTCCCCCTTCCCCTGCCACCCTCCCTCCCCAGCGCTGTCCTTTAGGTCTTCTCTTGTGCACCCATGTTACATTATTGATGTGAAATGATCTAAGTAATTCTGCAATGATTTAGCATCTGTGTTCATGCTGGAAGTACTTGCTTTGTGGTCAGGGTTGGGTTTTTTTGGGTTGGTTTTCGTTGTTTGTTTTTTTGGTGTTTGTTTTTTTTTAGTTTCAAAAAAGATTATCAACAGATTCTGGAGAAAAATTCAGATTCCATTAAGTTCCCCTAATGGTGCACAGAAACATCTGAAAAGATGAACTATGATTTAAATACATTTCAATGTAGAGAAACTTGTCTGCGTGTTGCAGGGTGAGTGGCCATACTCTTTTATTTTATAAAGCTAGGAGAGACCTTAAATTGGCCAGAATTGTAAAAGGGGTTGAGGATTCTTGGCTGCAGCTTTGGTACTGATCATTTTAAAATTCTCTTTATTATATTAGAATAGTTCTGCAAATTGTCCTACAATCTGAATGACAAGTTTTTGCCTCGGGACTTAAATTTTCCCTTCCCACCCATCCTCCTCCGTGGGTTGATCTACTGAAAAGCTGCTTTTGAGCATGAAATATGGATGGAAAAACTCACTCTTATCTGCAGCCTAGTCACTCCCGAAATGTTGAAGGATGCATGCTAGGGCATACAAAAAAACCCGTATGATACGTGGATATTTTCGTTCCCATATTGACACCCGGTGAGGGGACAGCAGCGCTGGAGTGGCTGAATAATCCGTCCCCATGTCAGACTCTGGAGGTGTCTTAGCTTAAGGTAGCTCGTACGACGTTTGTTAGGAGATGCTCTGCTATCTTGTCTGAAAAGTTTGCTGCTACGCTAAAATCGGCCAAATTTCTCTTTTATGAAGTTGGTGGTTCCCTCTGGGCCAAATTCTGGGCAGTCGCCGGTATTTGGAAGGGGCAGGATGGAGCTGAACTGCTGGAGGGAAAACATGGCCCGACTTTTTCCCCCCTACCCCATCAAACCACTTCCCATCTTTTCAGGGGAGGTTTTGGGGTGGTTTTAGGGGTGTTTTTTGTGGTTTGGGTGGGGTTTTTTTGTTTGTTTTGTTTTTAAAGTTTGTTTATAACTGAGGCTGCCTGTACCTATAACCAGTTTTACTCCGAATAACTCAATTACTTGCCTAACAGAGCATCCTTTGGTCTGTGCATGTTGGTAAATAGCAGATTATTCCCTTCCTGTCAAATTACCCATCCAAGGTACGTGTCCGTGGGACTGAAATATTACAGGAAGAATGTTATCTGAGGGTTTTGAACGTCGTTCTGCTGCGTTAGCGTTGCTCCACCAGCTTTCCTGACACTCCTGGAGTTGTTTAGTGAAACTTCAGCGTTTCTTTTTTTTTTTAAAATGCGTTCGAAGCACCGAGTGAGATTGTTTTAAAAAGTTGTGCTTAAAATACTGTATTTCATCTTATGAAGAAGAACAATTTCCCAACGCCTTCCCCCTCCGGTCCAAAAAAACTGAGCACTACCTACAGAAGTAATATGGGATTGATTTGTTTGTTTTGTTTTTTTTAAATTATTTTTATTTTAAATAAGTACTTTTTTTAAAAGAAAATCAGGATATACTTGTTACAGCCTCCTCTTATTATTCATCTCTCAAACTATGAATGTACGTGTAATGTGAAATTTTGCTTCTATTTATGGTTTTGTCGTTTTCAGTCTCATTTCTCGACTGTAAAATATTCTGGCTGAACCTGTTACATACGGGAGTTGTGGGAGAGTCCTGTATCTTGAGCAGAAGTGGCTTTGGTACCGTGGTCTTATTCTACTTAATCAGTTGGGTTTTTTTCTCTTTTGTTTGTTCCTTTTTTTTGCTGTGATTGGAAATAGCACTGAACAAAATCTACTACAATTAAGTTATTTTTTTTTTTTTCTTTCTACTAAAATTAAGTTATTTTGTTTTCCTCCTGAAGATACTTGATATAGTATTTATTAGATTATTTTTTTTGTTTTGGAAGTGGAATTATTCCTGTTGATCTGTTTCAAGACAAGTTAATTTACACTTCACTTTAAATTTTATAACAGTGGGTTTTGCATGTTGAACGACATGTGAAGAGTTGAACGTAGAGTCAGCGTTGCTGAAGCTGGTAATCTTAATTTTGCGTTCTTGTGACACTTTGGTTTTTTGCATTTAAGTCTTCGGTTACTGTTTCTTTTCTATATATATATATTTTTTAGAAGGTTATAAAATAGGACGTGCCGTAAGAGCATCATTAGTGTATGGAGCAGGGAAAAGTTGAAACAAGTTTGTGTCTGATCTCAGTACTGAAATAATAATTGAACCGATGCTACGAGCGTTCTCTGTACTGCAGTGAATATGGGGCAAAAGGTTGTGGGGTTTTTTTGGTGGTGTTTTTTGGTTGGTTTTTTTTTTTAAGAAAGAAAAAGACTTTCTCATTCTTTACCATATCATGAACATGCTGTTCTCATAGTCTGGTATTTGTGTTCCCACTCCTCATAGCTTGAATTTCTAAAGTAAAATACAAAAAAGAAAAAAAATGTTTGCACTTATTTTTGTTCTTAAGGTGACTTTTTTTGGCCGTCTCTCTGCGTGTCTCATTTTTAAGTTGCAATAGCTCGGAGCATGGTTTCAAAATGGTTCGTGACTCTGCAGAGAAGGACTGAAAACGTTGCACACTTACACTTGTCTCTTCATAAACTATTTCACTGTGGGGCCGTCACTGTCTCTGTAGGGAACAGTCCTGCTCTGCATTTTAAACACTGGATTTGTCTTCTACTACAAACAAATACTGTGAAGTTAATGTAAAAAAAAAAAAAATCGTTGATATTTTTAATTGTTTTTAATCTTGGTGCAGTTCAGATGAAATATGTATATTTAAAGACACTAATTTTTGTGGGAGAGTTTTATAGTATACAGTATGTAGAGAAGCTATTGGAATGGAATATATTTTATAAAACGTTCTATCACTGTTTTATAGTGAGCTATTTTTTTCCTCAGTGTTAGTGTGATACTGTTAGTCTAGATACGACAATCGCAGAAAGAGTGATTCAAGCTACCGTTAGCGCTTAGTTTTGCGTGGAGTTCTGTTTGCAACTGTATTGGTATGTGCTGTACAATGTGACAATCGTGACTAGGATTGTTGTCTTTATAAATTTACACAAAATAAAACGTGCTAGAGTTGTAAGCTTGAGCCTCCTCCCTTTAGCAGAAAGGGGCTGGTGGTTGGTTTTTTTTTTAATTATTATGTATTATTATTTATTCTTTTATTATTCTTCTTATTTTATTATTATTTTCTAGGTGGCCATGAAGATTTTTTTTAAATTATTGTTATATACTCAACATTTGTTTTTCGGGACCACGTGGACTTTTAGGCACGTGAGAGGCCGCTGTGTCTCAGAGCCTGACCGAGCGTTTCCTTGCTCGCTGGGCAGGACTAAAACCAGCACCACTTCTGCATTTTCACCAGAGCATTGAGGAGGTTTGAAAGGGCTCAGCTCTCCCTCCTGTGCCCTGAGGGAGCTTTGGACCAGCTCTACCCTGAATGATGCTGCTTGACAGCCGCAGGTGGGTGCTGGGGGCCTGGTGATAAGCCTGGGGATGCAGAAGGGATGTGGGGTGCATGGACAGCCCAAAAAAAGCCCTGGTACTCGCTCCATCCTCACAGCATTGGGCTGACTGAAGCCACCTTGGCTACCTTGCTTGAAGGCATTATTTCGCCTTAAAACTTGGGTTGGCTTTAACAGAAGCTGGGATTAGGAGGAAGAAGATGTGAGCTGCCCGTGCCAGCTGCCACTCAGTGGAGGAAGATGAGCCGCTGGGTAGGTCTGCACCTGTACTACACACGTTGCGTCTTATGCTTCCTAATTATTTTGGAGGCAAAGGATCCTGGCAGGAGCAGGCTGCCTTGAAACGGTGCTGGTTGAGGGATGGGCAAATTACAGTTAATGCTGGTGTGGAGGCACGGTTCGCTCTCCCCTCCTGCTATCGCGTAGCCACTTTGCAATCATCTCAAAATAGGTAGTTATTTCTTGCGTTCAAGCATGCATCCTGCCTTGTTCCTCCATCCGCATCTGTGGGGAGGGAGGGCAGGAAGCCGCCTCAGATGTGCCATGGTCCAGCTCTGATGTGGTGAAGTGTTAGAAACGGTAACTCTTAAATTATTTCTGCCATTGGAGGGGTGGGTGTCCCTGCAGTTGCTTATTTTTGGCACTCTGTTTTCACCCTTTTCTGCTGTTGTGGATATATTGAAGAAAATTCAAAGGTGCTTTATCCCCTACCTTCCCCCCCCCCCCAAAATAACTAAAAGTGTCCAAATCTGGGTGCTGTGCTAGGGAAGGGGGAGGCAAAAGGCCTTTTCTTGAAGGCGAGGGTGCTTGGAGAGAAGCAAGCTTGAAGCTAAACCTGGGAGGTGGATGGCTTGAAAGCAGGCTATAAATAACCGGGAGGAGATTGAGGAGAGCAGCCCACATCGACTCTGGCATGGGCATGCTGTGCCCATTTTCTTTGCTGATAGCAATTGCTAATGTGAATTCTGGCACTCCTAATCCTGATGCCTGTTGTTCTGATAACATAATTAAATCTTAGGAATGTGAAATATAAAAAGCTTTGAGAAGAAACCAGGCCACTAAGTGGATATTGGAAAGGGGGGGAATGGAGGGGTGCATGCGTGTCGAATGAGCAATGGGATCCCTCTAGGCTTGGAGGTATGCTGGGAGCAACCCTGCCCTTCCCCACAGGAAAGGGGGTGACCCCCAAGGACATTTGCTGTCCTA